AGATACCACATACCACCCTAACAAATTGAAATAGAATAAAATAACCCCAGATGATATCTAAAATATGGATTTAAAACTTCATGAAAATGATGATAAAATATTGTAAGTACGTCATGTAAAATTCATTTAAAATTCTTTTTATCTTTAAGTGCTAGTAATAAATACAGGTCTCCCTCTAAAGAACCTTCAAATTAAAAACCAGTTTTCTATGGTCCCAGAATAGCAAATGTCTTTAATCTTTATTATTCTATATAGGAACCAACGCTCAAAGACCATGAAAACCCTGGTTCCAAAAGTGGTCTTTAATTGGAGGGAGACCTTTAATATTTTCTTAACAAGTGTTATACACATCCTCTAATTTATTATTATTAATTATCTACCCTGTATTAAATTTATGCAGTATATAAAATGACATCACGATTAGTTTTTTAATCTATCAAATAACTACTTACAGTAGTCCCCATTCTTGGTACACATTATTTATAATTCAATTACTTTAAATTACATCATACTACAGTATTATTATTACTACTACTAAATTAATATGCAGCGTAATTTACACGGCTTATTGCACTGCTTCAAAAGCCTTACATACTGTAGATTATATTTTTTTACACACTTCTTACGTCAATGGCAAATTAAATACTAAGATGTTAAACGTAAAGCTGAAATTCACTGCTGTACAAGTGTCAATAACATTTCCATGTTCAGCATGCCCATATATAGTCATGATGTGCCTATATATGGTTGTGATGTGATGTCATCATGACCATATTTAGGCATGTCACATGTTTTTGTCAAAGATAGTCTGGAGAGGGTTATACTTGAATACAAGTTATTAGTTAATATATTCACAGTGTGGTACTGCTACTAGTGCAACTTTGGGAAAAATACGTTCCAACTGGGAAAATCCTATAAAATCCTAAGAACTGTAGTACAAAATAGTGTACCATAGGCCCACAAAAATAATTATAAAATATTAATAGAAAATTGCCCTTCATTCATTTACCTTATCATATTTTTGTTATCTATTTGAAGTATATTTATATATTTAACAGTTGAAATGTACATAGATTACCATACTTTTTTACATACATTTGATTTGTGTATGATATGTATGTTTGTATGTGTAGACAAATATTATAATTATGTGTTATAATTCGCAACAACAAATTGTGAAAAAAATTATTCTGCGACGGTTGAAATAAAGGTGGGATGCACCCACGAAAGACAAAAAAAAAAGAAAATTGCCCTAACTAATAGCTTTCAACAATGATTTCGTCCTCATGCACAACAATAACAATGATGATGATTATTAACATAACTCATAACTTGTGATCATGATTATTCATAATAAAAATCATAATCATCCTTTTCTTTCTCCTCACCATCATTCATAAATGATGATTTTAATCATTGCTAGATGAGGATGATGAAAAATGCATGATTGTCATCATTAATGATTATCATCATCACCACTCATGATGATAATCATTACCAACATCATCATCATTCATATCGTTTACAGCATCATGATGGCCACTCTGATGACAATCATAATCATCATTCATACAATTATTTATAGTATCATATGATCACTCATGTCGATAATCATTATAGTCAACCTTATTCATGAAAGAATAATGATGATTATAATCATTTAAAGCATCATTATAAACCCCTCATGATGAAAATCATCATCAAATTATTAATAGTATCAAAATCATCAACCATGATGATAAAAACAAAAAACACAACAAAAATTGCAAAATTAATGTATTTAATTATCATGTTGTGTTTTTTTTCTGGTTTATGTTCGATTAAAATAACTATTTTAAATTATCTGAGTCTAAGATAAAGAAAGCATTTAATAATGTACTTTTTTATCATGCTATTAGTAGTGTTAGCATTTTTTTTTAGAAAATGGACCATATATGTACGAACATGCTCTGCATGAAAATGCCATTCATTTTAAATATTTTACAATTAAAAAAATAAATAAAAGGATCATAATTAATTATTTATAGCATCATAATGTTACTCAAGATTAAGATGATGATGAAAAGATACTGCATTTCATATTCTCACCTAAAAAAAAGGGTGCTACCTTCTGCTGCGACCCACTGACGCACCTGCAAATACAAAATACATTGTTTCAATATTACACAAAAATTTTCTATAAAATGAAACAGCTTTGATCCGAAATGAACAGCCTTCTATAACCTAAACTTCAACTACATGTCTAAAGTTCAGCTGTAATTGGGCAAATGCTTATTTACGTAGATGGACAAACAGTTTTTGAGCTACTGCCTTAACAGAACTCTATAAATATTTCTCAATATTTTAAGGTCATTTTTTAACCCCTTCATTCTTTCAATTTTTTGATGAAAAAGATACCATAGTATGTATATAATTCATTATTCCTAGAAAATTTTTGCCCATTGTCAGTATTTTTATGAAAACTAGTGTTACACTACAGTGCTTGTACTACTTTTTAGAACCATGGACTTCTCAGATAAGCATACAATAGAGAGTACTCGGTTTTGTTGTCAAAATTAGATCATCATGGCTAGTGCTTTGTTAATTGAACAATGGAATGCTTACATTTTTTGTTACCTATAATATCTCTGTCAAGTTGTAAAAAGCAAATATACCGTACTGTACAGTTTAGTGACTGGGATTCACCATTAAAAGGCCATTCTCACTACATTACATTGTACAGTAATCTACTACATTACATTGTACAGTAATCTACTAAATTACATTGTACAGTAATCTACTAAATTACATTGTACAGTAATCTACTAAATTACATTGTACAGTAATCTATGTTGAACTATAAAACATTCAGTTCTTTTCAAAACAATCTATGTGGTTTACTGTACCAAGCAAGCATTAATAAAACTTTTATTATTCACATCCTGCTATTAAAGATAGTTATTAAAGATGGCCTGACAGTACTACAATTTCCAAGGTGAGTCCAGGTGTAAGAGATCATGTGAGAGACACCTGCCTGCCAAAACCAAATTTGCATTTGTTCTTGGGTCAAGCTTTGTCCATGCTATCATGTTTTCTTTGGCAAAAATATGTTGTATGCCCATACCGTAAAACCTCAAGTAGAAGCCCCTGGCTTGGATCGACTTCTTTTCGAAATTATTTTTGCAAACTAAAGAGGGGGCTTCTTTGCAAAATGAATGCTGTAAATATTTGTAATTGCTCTAACATTTTTCAATTATGGAATTCAAAATTCTGTTTAATATTTTTAAAATTTGAACCATGCCAGTACAATCAAATAATATTGATACTCACACGCTATCATAATCAAACGTCAGTCTGAATGTTAGTATAGTACTATCTCAAACAGAAGCCTAGACTACCTTGAGTAGAAGCCCATAGGCTTCTTTTTGATTGGCTCCTTTTCAAGATTACTTTTGCACACTAAAGAGGGTGTTTCTTTTTGAGATGGGCTTCTGCTCGAAATTTGGCACACTGGGCTTCTATTCAGGGCTCTACAGTATAGAGTCATGATATGCCTTTTATATGGTCATGGTATGATGTCATCATGACCATATTTAGGCATCACATGTTTCAGTCAAATGAAATTTGATAGTCTGAGCAGAGAGAGCTTTACATTTTCTGTGTTAGTCCCATCTCCATAAAAAGACAGGTGCATGAAATGAACTCTGTACACTATTCAAAAAGAGTAGGTACAGAAATTGTCTTGCAGTGTGGCGGTGCTTGCCGAGTGTCTCTAGAGGCCTAATTGGAATTTCTTTTTTATATCCTCTAACAGATAAACTTGCTGAATAAAAAATCAATTTGATTTTAATTTGATTAATATTTTTTTCATTTTCTGTTCTTTGGTAGATTGTGGTTATGCATGAGGAATGTACCTAAATAGCAAGACTGGATGTACTGTACAATGCGTTTCATTCCAACTTAGAATTTGAAATGTCTTACTAGGGACATGCCAGTGTGGAGATGCTTCTGTCTGTTACCAGCTCTCTTAACCAATTACATAATACCTTTGTCTATATATAGTCTACCTAGATCAAGTAATATTAATAAATAGATACATTCCGCAAGGTTTGATTACAGCTGGTCACGTGACTTATAACGGGTATAACATGGAGAACTTACACTGACAGTGCAATCAGTGTGGAATGTATAGGAAATGAAAGTATATGAAGTGGTAATGTTATGATTGTGAAAACAACCGCTCACATGGAATTAACTGGCAAGGAAATGGACTACGGTTGTTCAAAATTTAATTAATTATTCTACCGTTCTCTGTACTTTGTATCCTCTGGAATTTATGTGATCCTTTGCAAAGCTTTGCTAGCCTAGAAATTGTAGCTATCAAAATCGCAGTTTTCAGATCAAAGACTCTTGCGCCTACCTAAACAGGGCATTGAAATGCAGGGGCCTAGTCCTAGCATTTTTCAAAAAAAATCTCTGGGGCAAGTATCTTTCAGAACATTAGCAAACCATTAAGGCTATATTCTCCATTTCAATTTCCAATCAATTGTATTGTAAACTTTTTTGACTGAATAAAAAATTAATGAATGAATGAATTTGGTACAGTTTACTGGCATTCCAATCAACAATATTCAACATTAAATATTTGCTTTACAGCAGAAATACTATGGAAGAAGCCACGCATTTTCTTATTACTGAACATCACTCGCACTGCCTGTTTCCAATTGACACCCACTACCACTACCAGACTGTATAGAAGGGCTTGCATGAGGAATATATCCCCCGCGGAAAAATTTGCCCGCACATTTCTGAAAAATGTGACGATTTCTGCGCAAATTTTGCCGTAATTTAGGCCTTGACCTAATCTTAATATACTGTAATATACAATGTATTATGAGGTTACTATGATTCTGCGCATTTATTTACCTAGCGATTTTCCACACAAATTTGAGCTGGTTTTGGATGTCTGCACAATAACTTTACAGTACAGTATGGACACACTATACGTCACATGACCAACCTAGCGGAATGTGCCTATTTTGTAGTAGGGCCTATATGTTAATGATACAGGATACTAGGCCTAGCTAGTTAGGGGGCCGTCTCTGTATTAGTAGGCCTAGGCCTAGGGCTCTAATGTAGGCCTTGGGCCTAGGCCAATAATAATACAAAAAAGTTTTAAGGCCTTCTTCAATCAACAGGTATTGGTAAACAAGGATTGTTATTTGTTAATATCGTGGGCCTAGCTAGGCTAGGATCCATTTTTCATTTTTCTATTTTGGAGCTGCCTACATCACGAACAGCTGGTTGCTTCTTTCTGTTCTCATCACATCGTCAACAAGGCCTAGCCTTAGTCTAGCACTACAAGTTACATTCCACATAGGAATAGGCCTAGGCTAGGCCTAGCCTGCCTAGCTAGGCAGCCCCTAAATCGTAAGCGTCAACCCACCATCTGTTTACGTTCTTAACTCGTAGAAAAACGTACCTCCTCATTTAAAATACCCTATGATAAAACGGCATGTTCATAAGAAGTATATAAAAAGTGTTTATATTAATTATTACCAAAGAATCTTAGATTCTGCAAAGAAAAAAAAACAACCTGTCAGTTGAGAACGCAGATTCCACTCGAGACGAATTAAAGTGAAACGTGTTTGGGGTCACACCTGTTCATCTTTGGCAAATAATGGCGTTGCCAGGATCTCACGCTGTTCGTATCCATATTATAACATAAAGAACGAAATTATGTCTTTCTTTGATGCGATGCCCCCCCCCCCACCCCCCACATCAGTCCCGCCGAAAAAAAAAAACGAAAAGAGGAAGACAAAATTGAGAAGAGTTAAAGGGAGAGTAGAGAGAAAAAAGCAAGTGTCGAAACTAGCAGTGGGCTGCAGCTCCTACCCAGGGTCCCGGCTCAGTGGCGTATAGTCTTGAAATCGGGGGAGGGGGACTGATGGGGGATGGGTAGACTGATGGGTAGACTGATGGGGGGTGGGTAGCGAAGGTGAAGGGGACCTCGATGATCAGTTAAGAGGCACTAATTCGCAAAATATGGAGATTTTAGGTGATTTTAAACTACTGTACTTGACCATTACTGGGGAGCGACTGGGTGGGGGAGTGCAAGTAATTTTTTGGGGGGATGCTCACGCCACTGTGCTCGCACTAGCCTATACCACCCTGATCTAAAAGGGCTTTGTTGCATAGGCCTATTAATCCAGTGGGGATGGGATGCCCAGCTAGCCATGACCCCCTGGCAATTATTTTTAACAAATTTAGATAAAATATTTAAATTTTAAGTTTGAATGAGCGCCATTTCCGGGCATCTAGAGGCCGGAATGTTGCGACTCCCAGTAGGCCTACAGAAAACTCTATACAGTATATAGGTCCTTGATTAGACAATGTGTAAGAGGACCGAGAGGGGATCAAGGGTTATCTAAGGAGGGGGATCATAGCACCCGCCGGGAAGAAGTCAATAATTTTGTCGAGAAGGAACACTTCTTTGAAAAAGCACTTTTACCATCTGAGAGTCCCAATTCCGAGCGTCTAGAGGGGCATATTCTTAAAATTTGTTCATCACCTCAACCCCAACCATGGTGGGGCCGAGTGGGTGTTGATTACCTATTGGTCCGGCCCCCTCGTCAGAAAATTTCTGGTGTCCCCCTTGCTGCATGTAAACACAGTACTGTATACAGGAATCTTCATCTTCGTTAACGTCGGCTTAAATCTTACTTCTCATATATTTGTAGGCCCTATTTATTTCCACCTTTATTGTCACTTCATTCTTCCTTTCTTTTACTTACAGTAATTTTTTTCTGGACATTTAGATGAAATCGCGCATTAGCATCATCACTCATCCCATCATCATCATCATCTTCATTTTCCGGTAGGCCTTACTCGCATAACCTCGCGTGTCGACGCCATCATCATCATCGATCAGCAGCAGCAGGAGGATAATCGTCATCATTATCAACATTATATCTGATATTATCGATCGTCATCATCATCATCTGATAATAATAATTTTTGTATGTCGTATAAGACGACCACCCTGTTTCATGGTCGGAATTCCTGCCTGTGTATGCTTTTTATTGTTCTTGCACCTAGCTGGCTAAATACTGAACCAAATGCAAGGCTAATCTTCCAAATAATACCATTCTTTACTATTTATTAAATGTTCATCAAATCTTATTTCCCCGTATTGAAAATTGTGTTCATTCATACCAACATTAACTTCATTGCAATAATAAATTCGCGTATTATAACGGAACTGTACAGAGGATGAACATGATTTGTAGGTCGTGCGTATCGACGACCCCACCCACCATGTTTTTCGATCGTAATTTGCAAGTTAAGCCTCGTCACTTATACGCGAGTATAAATCAAGTAAGAATCTTTGTAATAAAAGTCAGACAAAAGAACTCGTTTTAGTTGAACTTTTGCATATTTTATTTAAGTGAAATATCACCTTACATACAGAAGTTGCAATTTTCTTGGTTATTACAGGAGGCCCTACCATTTGAACTTATAACGATTCTGGCCTACTAGCAAACGAATTTCTACCCATGATACAATTACATTGTAGGTGTAGTCCAATCTAATTGACATAACATTAACTACAAACTTTATACAAATTAATTTTTAATAAGACAATGAAAACTTTACTTCGTTGCATACGGTAACTAAATACAGTATATTGCACGCATTATGGGAGCACATTTTGATAGACATGTGGTAGTTACGCAGCATGTTATAATATTCTGTTTAATTTTGATATATGAATAACGTATATTATCGATTTTTTTTAATGTATTTTATATGCATATAATATCCTATAGGCCTATGCCAAATGAAATAAAGGAATATCATACATGTTCTCTTTTGAGCAATCTATTCCCTAGCTAGAGGGCAGTATTAAGATTGAACATTGGTAGGACTTAGGCCTAATAATAAAATATTGGAAGAAAACGACTCATTTAAACTAATATATTTAATGACTTTACAGTGGAAGATTAATTGCACATGAAATAGTAGTCTCTCATTGGGCTTATTAATAGCCGTTCGATTTCAATGTATATGCCTAAATATTGCAATGCATTCACAGGTAGGCCATCCAATAAAAGATAAGAGCCACGCGCCGCTTTCAAAATACTGTGACGTCATTTTGACACAAGAATTGTATGTGTGCGAGCATAATTGACCTTTCAATGGCGGCGCCAGGATTCCAAGATCCCTGACGGCGGGGGGGGGGAGCTGATGTCCCCTACGAGAAAAATGTGGATGTGGCCGGGCGGCACTAAAAACCTTTCGAAAGTGGTCCAGGTGAAGTAGCCTCCGATGAAAATATGTCAATTTAGAGGTTTCAAAGGCTTATACAAATACATATAATCTTTTACAATTTTTCTCCCCGGCGAATTGTGGTATTTCTCCCAGAGGGAGGGGAGAGTTCTCCCCGGCGGGTGCAGCACCCCCCTCCCCACCTCCGTAGCGCTGCCACTGGGACCTTTACGGACTGGTATCACCCAAAGTTAAAAACCAATCAGAAAAGGGCCGGCGCCAGAAAAAGGCGTGCGCCTCACAAGTACATGTTGTCCCGGTCCCCAAACGCACGTGAGGGTCAGGTAATCAAGGATAGAAAGCTCGAATGCTTAGGCCTACAATTCAATTAAAATCCCCGAATGAATACAAGGTGAAAATTACTTACACCGTCAGCTCATCAAAAAGAGTATCTTAAGCTAATAATATATTTCTTTACTCTATTGTTATAGAAAGAAAATTAGACCTATATTCACAAAGTATCCTAAAATTCAAGTACTGTAAATTATCCAATCACGGGTGTCCACGGAACGAATATAAAAAGGTTAGCTTCAATATACGGCGCATTGAGAAAAAAAAATGTTTGTTTCTATTTCTGTTTAATACCACGTTACATCATGGAGGAATTAGTTTAGAAGTGAAATCGGGCGGCGATGCACTGCGGTCCCCAGCCCAAATTTCCAATTCCATTTTGAATGAGGACAAAGTATAAAGTAAATGTAGTTTTAGCAACTACAGAATTTCAAGTACCGGTAGGTCCTATTGTAGTGTTATAATGGTACCATGGTCTGTACCGGTCACAATAATGACCATGAACATCTAATGGCCATGGTCATTGCACATGGGCCTATCTGACTTATTAATATAGTGAGAAATCGATTGTTCAATAGTTTTTTTTACGAACGTCAAAACATGTTGCTTATGTTCTCTTTCGATCCGTGAACAGCGCTTTGGGACCATCACAGAGACATCTTCCTGGCCTTATTGCTAGTCAATTTAATTATAATCATAATACGTCTGACATAGAAGATACTAGAGTTGCTTTTTTGTGATCTGATATTAGAAAGAATCTAGAACAGAAATCAACATATAAATTAGGAACAGTGCCTGGTCTCAATGTTAGTTCAGGCTCTAGACTTGGTTTTTTAATATGTTAACTTGGGCTTACTATTCATTCGTGGCAATTTATTATTTGTTTTTATAGCTTAACGCCCATGATGTATTATGTACTTGGCTCTATTTGATTGACTGGTTCTGTTTCCAGTTATTTTCTTATATCAGTTTCTTTTACGTCCATAATATCTGTATATTCTTTAATAATCTTTAAGTAGCACATGAAGAAGGGCGAAGCCCGAAATTGTTGAGTTCGTTTCAAATTGTTGTGTTCGTTTCAAATAGATATCATTAATTATAGGACAACATTCGTTGAGTGCTATGCTAGAACACCTGTCTCTTATACACATCTAGATGTGTATAAGAGACAGCAGGTAGGCCATCCAATAAAAGATAAGAGCCACGCGCCGCTTTCAAAATACTGTGACGTCATTTTGACACAAGAATTGTATGTGTGCGAGCATAATTGACCTTTCAATGGCGGCGCCAGGATTCCAAGATCCCTGACGGCGGGGGGGGGGAGCTGATGTCCCCTACGAGAAAAATGTGGATGTGGCCGGGCGGCACTAAAAACCTTTCGAAAGAAAATGGCTGTGAAATTCGTACATATTCTTGCACTATTTCTGGCAAATCTTCAAATTTTGGAAGCGGCTTCACGGAACCAGCAACAAATCCTCCAGCACTGAGACTGTTACCATGGAAACCAATCATCTTATCAATATTAAGATAGTAATCATCGGCATTCCATTTAACTTTTTGTTCCAGTCCCCAACTCAACATGCTCTCAGAAAATTCCAAACCGACGTCATCGCAAAGTATTTTCAGGATTCCTTTTGGGTTTTGCAGGAGATCGTCTGTGTCCAACACGAGAGGTTCTTCTCCTGTCCTGTTTACAACATACGTGTAAAGTTCATGAAGCTCTTGAAATCCAAGTCGTGGAGTAAAATATGTTTTAAATATATCGCATGCTAGCTCTGCATTGAATTGCTCCCATACACGATACATTGAAAGAAATGTTCTAATTGGATGACGGATAAGGAATATATGTTTATAACCATTGGGTATTAAATCATAATTACCATTCAGATTGAAAGCAAAATCTTTAGCAAAAATAACTTTCTTTCCTTCATATTTCATTTCTAATTTTTCCTTAGTTGCTTGAAATGACAGATCTTTTCTCACTGGCAACTCTACTGTTAGGTATCTTCGGAAACGCTCGGGTCCAAGAAACGCCGATGTTGTGAATGGTTCATAGAAAAGTTCTACATCAGGCACGCTTTCCATGCTCCGCATTAAGGCCGTAGTGAGAGAGCGTGGCTGGCTCCAGGCAATAAAGCGGACTTGCTCTTGCTTGTTGTCATTTTTACAATTCATTCTGGGATGTTTTTGCTTGATTCTAAATATGAAAAACAAAAAATAAACAGAAAATTATACACCACATAATCATTATGACACTTTGAGCCAGAAACAATTAATTGTCAGGGCATGTCCGACAGGTGGAAGGGATAATAGTCTGAGAGGTGGCCTGACCACTTGGCAGGGCATAGGGGGATTTAGCCTTCTGTTGCCTAAAGATGTTTCGCGATTTTGGCATTTTACGCTGTTCTGAGAAGCAAGCACCCCCACCAACGGGAGGGGAGCTTTGCCTGTCTTACGGAGCGGTAATATATAGGCCACAGAAACAGAACAGGCCTGTATATAACCTTAAAAGCAAAATATATAATTATATAGACCTTTACACCATATATAATTATTATATATATATTACAAAGAAATACATAAATAATAATAGTGCTCGAATAGGATGTTATAGGCCTAATCATATCAAGCACAGCCCTTTTTCAGTTATTATTATAAACAAGTGTCTGGCGAGATTCGTGACCTGCAACCTCTTACTACTGTATCAAGTGAGTATCATGCCATTATAGCACGGATACCTTATATAATACGGATAGGCGCATCTACTACAAGGCGCTTCTCCCATAGGCATACAGCTGACTCAGACGCTCACACATAACAACTATGTTTAAGCAGACAAGCTCAGGTCGCAGCTCGGAAATCTAATTTGAATAATATAAGGAAGGATAAGGAAGGATATACAGTCACGCCCTATAAAGACATAAAGGACTGGATAAGGAACATTTGTACTATTAACATGGAGGCTATAAGAGAAAGGTGTGGTAAAAGTGATTTATAAGTTTGCACCGTGTCAGATGGTGCTTCTTCGAACGAATTGAACACGAGTCTTATTTCTGAATATATTAAGGACAAACTGTCTGGCAATAAATTCAAATGTTTAATAAATTTAGCTTAAAAAAACCCGTAAGAATACTATAGGCCCAAACTGATATTTTTACAGTCCTCTACAGCACTACACTAAAAATTGCAATGTTGTCGCTCCCTCTCTATTTAAGTAATCAAGCTATTTTGTAATCAAAAGAAATTGTTCGCTTGACGATGCAGTCCCTCGGGTCTCGTTTACACATGTTTAACATATTCTACAAAATCATTGAGCGTTTCAACTGCTGAATATATGCCAAAGATACACACGGAAGATGCATAATCCCAAACGCGCCAATGCTAAGCAGGGAATTAGACTAAAATAAACTGACAGAATATATGTAATAAACTTAGAATTATATTTTGTAAATATTTCAGTAATATTTACCATAATTATTAAGAAAAATTGCAAGGTAACTTAAAGTGGCTCTGAGGACAAACATCCTAGCATATGAATATATTTCGCTGACCATGAAAGAATGAATTAGCGTAAATCTAATATTAATATTATAATTACGTGTACAAGGCCTAGAGTTAAGTTACTGTAATTAATTTTATAACCACACTTTCCTACAAGGCCGGTAGTGTCTTATTTGTATACAATATTGTTGTACGATATTTGACGCTCAGCCTCGATAGCGTTGTGCAGTCTATAGTGTACGTATATATTCTCCATTGTTGACGTGCTAATACGGAGCCGAGAATCTATGGGAATGGGGATGGGGTCGGACGGGGACATGCATCCTCAGTTTGGCTTAAAAATGTAATATATTTACTATAAAAGAGATTCAGACATTTATGGATACTTAATTTATCCAACATTTAATCGCTAACTCTCCTTGAACATTATTTTATTTATGTTTACTTTTAATGCCTGGTTTCAATAAAAATCACGCTATCACTCCTTTGGCGACGCTTATGTTCCTCAGTTAATTCAGAGAGCGTTTCCGTGAAAACGCTGTAGCGACTGTGTGATTCAATGGAAAGCAGGCCTAAAGATTGGTTTTCATATAGGCCTAATCGATACAAAGTCGCAGCGTTTTCATCTTTGCCCGGCCCCCCCTGCGTAGCTGTCCCCGACGCAATCGGTAACGGTCCCTTTGTAACCGGGTTGCAACTGACCAATCAGCGTCGCCAAAAGAAGTCGGCGATATCGTGTAGCGATTTTTATGGACACCAGGCTTAATCTTTGTAGGCCTACCGTACGATACTAGAAAGTGATCAAAAAGGCACAGACCCGGAAGATATTTTGCTTGAAGGGTAATTCTTATTATTCTAGTCATATAACAATATGTTACTTTTATACCATAATAGCCTAATATCCAGGCATATATTCGTCAAATTTTGTGAATTTTTAAAAGCATATTTCGTTTGAGTTAGTGACACTAACTCAAACGAAATATGCTTTTAAAATAATTCATAGAATTTGACGAATATATGCCTGGATATTAGGCTATTATGGTATAAAAGTAACGTCAAGAAGTAACAAATAAAATATATATAAAACCATAGGATTTGATAGAACATATGCCTACTCACTCAACAATGTGTAAACAAACTGCTTAGGCTACTGGCTATAACGTATCTGCTTCAGATGGTAACAATCCGTGAACAGGCGAAGTTACATGTAATGAGCACTTGCCGAGAGTCGTAAGAGTATTAATGATGCAGCCGTCGTCATTCTAGAGTTCGGCCTGTACC